TACTCCATTTTCAAAGGTTTTCAAAGGATTTTTATGTTTCCGGATTTTAAAAGACTTTTCAGGTAATTTGGGATAAAGAGGCACAAAATGGAACAAAAAGACTCTTTTGGATAAATGCAGACCGTCAGAACTCTCATGGAGAGACAAAGACCTTCTCACCGTCTGATCATCCTCAAAATTGGACAATTTATAGAAGAATCAACCAGCTTTCAAATTCACTTGGTCTAGAGACATTCCAACGGTTGGATCTCAAGATATTTCATTAGCCCCGGAGCCATTCGAAGTCGGTCAGCAACTCACCCGACCGCGGCCAACAAGCTATTTGCCGCGGTTAGAAGCTTCCCGACCGCGGCCAACAAGCCAATTGCCGCGGTCACAACACTCCCGACCGCGGCAATCAATCTTTGAGTTAAAGCCCACTTATCTGAAGCCCAAAGTCATTCTCAGCCTCAATTCCGGAACCCTAGAGACCATGGAGTATTGGAGACTATAAATACATGTCATTTAGGTCGTTTTTAGAGAGAACCTTTCATACTTTACAGAAACCCTTTTCCTTTAGCCGTTTTTATGAGATTTTTGAGATTGTTCAAGTCCAAGTTCTTCAATGGAGAAGCTTTCTTTATCTCTTTTCTTTACTGTTTTTCATTACTTTTATTAAAACCAATGATGATGTCGAACTCAGCCATGTCTGAGTAGATCCCGAGTTGGGCTTAGGGTTCCCGAAAGGGGCTCTCATAATCGATTAAGACATCTAGGTTTATAGATCTGTGATTTCGACCTGTTCTCTGTTTATTCTTGTTCTTATTGCATGTATGCTTGATTGATCACCTAGTATCTGATCTAGATAGTTAGTGTTGCGAAAGTTTTCATGAAGTATCAGCCCTAGAATTAAACAGGCAATTTTTCCGTAGGAGTGGAAACCTACCTGCAGCGAGATCGTGAGTATTGACGAGTCTTGTGCAGCTCTTGCGTTCTCTCCCTTCCAGGGCAAGAGTGGAAACCTACTGGTCAGGGTTGCGAGAAACAGTTAGTTATGATCACGACAGTGACGTAATCATACCGCCGTACTCTAGCTCTAGAACTGATGTGACTTGATGTGTGGTGTCGAGGGTTGTCAAGTTTTACCCTAATTGAAGTCAATAGCCGCAAGTGCACAGCTGATCAATTGTAGTACTTAGGGATCGAATCCACAGGGAAGGAGGATCTTTTCCTGCAAAAAGCCTTTGAAATAAGTTAAAGTAAGGAAGTCTAGAACAAAAACGGTTTTGTGGGGGTTTGGTGGGGTGTTTAAAATGTAAAAACGAAATCTTAAAAGAAAATACGGGAATTAAATGACGTAATAACTAAACTTAACGAAAATGACTAAAAATGTAAAAAACGGATATTCTAATGCTTAAATGAAAGTCTACTAAAAAGGAAAGACAATATTGAACTAAAGCTTCAAAGAAAATCGGTGTAAATCAATGGGAAAAAAGCGTTGGGGTTCAGGGAAGTTTTCTCAGGGGTACGAACGATTCAAAACATTGCTAGAGAGGAAATTTTGTAAGATCTTAGCTTAAACTTTTCGAACTAGAGTCACGGACGTATGAATACGCCACTGTCATGATCATAGACAACTATCTCTCTCAACCCTGACCAGTAGGTTTCCACTCTGGCCCTGGAAGAGAAGAGATGCATTATGTTTAAGACTCGTCCTAATTCACAAATCGCCCATAGGTAGGTTTCCACTCCTATGTTTGTTTTGCTCTCCCAAACTAGATCTGATACCTGATGAACACTTTCGTGTCACCAAGCATCTGGATCAGATTGTAGTTCATGACGCTACTCTCATGCAGTAAAAACGAATTCAGAAGAAAAAGTTCTAAGATTCGGCTCAAAAGCTCATGGAATCCTCATCGAACATATAAATCCCCATCGAAAATCCCTTAATCCCAACAATAAAACTACTCAGACATAATGAACGAAATCAAAGACATAGTATTAAGAAGTAGAATAGAAACCGAAATTGAAAAAGAAAGAACAAGGGTTCAAGAGAACAAATCTCTCTCTCCCTAAAAGCTAAAGCAAAAACAATAAAAGTATGAAGTAATGATAGATGGTATTCGGTTACACGATATTTAGGGTTCCTAAGACATGTATTTATAGTGCTCAAGACCTCTCTGGACGTCACTTAGGGTTTCTCCAAATGTGGGCTTCAGAAATGGGCTTTTTGGGCTCGGAGGTTGATGGCCGCAGGTGGAAGTGCTTGCCGGCTGATTTACGGGACATCTTGCTCTTCGCGTATCTTTTGATTGAACCGTTGGATTGCCAAGCTGTAAAGTGAACTGGAAAGCTGATACTTCCATCTTTAAGGTCTCCAAATTTGAGCTGGATCAAACGGTGAGAAGAACTTCAATCAGGGGTGAACTTCTGACGGTTTGACTCTGAGCTGAAATCTGGTTTTCTATCCATTTTGTTAAGCTTTTCCCTAAGTTACCTGAAAAGAGTCTTGGAACTACAAATACTAGAAAAACGTGATAAAAGTACTTAAAAGCAATTAAAAACATAGAAAAAGTATTTCAAAACGATCCATAAAGGTGGTCAAAATACGGTGTTATCAAGAACCCATATATCGTTATCTGTCATTCCCAGTCTATCTACCTTAGTGTTAAAACCGATTATGATCCCTTAGAGTTCCCAAAAGCTCAGCGTTTTTAGCCATAGTTTACAATTCCATCGATTTTTACTTGCTTTCTTAGACCTGCATTTCAATTTCCTTAGTTCATTATTTACTTGCTTTATTTACCTTTTATGTGATATCTTACTTGCCTTATTAGTCTTTCATTCGATATTTGCCTATTCTAATTGCATTCCATTCGATTTTCTTACCTGCTTTTTAGGATAGATTTATTTGCTTTCTTTTGTTTTAGTTTAATTCGCAAGAAAAACAACCAACCTTTAAAACCAATTTAGTCTAGACATAAAGTAAAAAACCGTAGAAGAATACCAGGCACACAAATCTCTGTGAATTTGATCCCTAAATACTACAACTGATTAGCTGTGCACTTGCGGCTTTCATTTGTTTTGTTAAGGGTAAAACTTGTTCCCTCACGTAGTTGACACGAACACATCAAATGGCCGAACCCGGAACGAGACAAACCTCTCCTACGCAGCGAGAGACGAGAAGTTGTTGTAAGGACGGTGGCGAGGCCTGGTGCGTTCCGGATGCATGCGATCCTTGACGATCTGTTCCCGGCGATTAGCAGCATATCTTGACTCGAGATCCAGGTACAGAGGATGGTCAGGTTCACGAGGATCAACGAAGTCTTCGAGGTCATCAGCTGATTCGACCTCCATCTCATCGTCGGAGCGACCAAACGGGTTTTCAAAATAAACCGGAGGAGCCAATGATCCTTCAAACAGCGGACGAAATTCTTTCGCATCACTGGAGGTATCACTCTCGTCGTCTTTGGCGGTTGGAATTTCAATGGGCTCCTTTCCAGATCGCTGAAGAGTCTTCCGCTTCTCCAGGAGTCGCAGTAGGGCCTCTGCAAGGGTTTCTTCATCGGCTGGGCACCTACGACGAGAGGCCTCAATTGCGGAAGCAAGGAGCTTGGCGGTGGCTGAACGTGTGCTTCGCGGCATCGCAAGAAGTCAGAGAATTTGGTGAAGCGAGATGCGGGAGAAAAAACCGTGACACACGATTAGGGTTGGTGGCACATGAAACAGCAGACACTTTTAAACAAGCGGGAAACGCAAACCCTAGGCAACCACTCAAGACATGGATCAGTGACAAAAACATTGGCCGGAAGCCCAGCAAGCACACGCAATTACAACATGCCCAACATAAAAAAGAAACACACATATGAGCCCATCACAACCACTTAGAACAAAAACCGGTCAAATTCCCCATGCACATCAAGACATGAACATCTGAGCTGAGAGAAACACGCCTAAGAACATAGAGGTAATCTGTGAAAGCGTTACTGGGGAAGGGACACTGTACCAACATCTGAAGAACAACAGTGTGAAAAAGTTAGAAAAATCAACCTGAGAGCTCAAGAATGCAGCATACCCTTAGCCAAGGAGCTTTCACACCCTTGATTGACCAGAGAGCACTGTGTTACACCCGACAATGATGTGCTGATACATCTGTGGACTTGACTTGACAGAGATTCTCAATGATCCACTTCTTCTCCAGACATGTGCGATCTCCCAACGGTCCACAGACGTTCAGACACCAGAATCAGACAATTGTTTAGATTATGCTGCATACCCTCAGCTGAGGAGCATTCACACACGTACCAGCTGTGGGTAATAACTATATAGTCAATGAGTGATTCATTTTTTTTTTTGTTGATCTGATTCTGATGCAGAATGTCTGTGTGCACTCGTGTCTCTCATTAGTGCTGCTTTCCCCAACTGAGGAGCATTCACACCCACCTGGAGCCAAAAAAAAAACTGACACTTGGGAGCCAAGGATCACACACTTTCATTGAGAACCAGTCAGCGGTCTTATGCTCAATCCGGTCAGTGATCAACAGTAGACATAAAATGTGGTTGCATCCTAGTCCAATCTGAGTGACCATCTCATCAAGTCAGTTCTGTATCGCCATCCTCGTCAGCATAAAACAGCTCTCATATGGACAACTTGCTCTCAGGAGGTTTTATGACATATTCAGCCTGTACTTGACTCACCTCCCCTTCCCATATTACGACAATTTAGTTCTCACAGACCCCTAAATACAAAAAGCTATTGAGATCAAGCGGTTTAAGAAAAATATCAGCAAGCTGATGCTCAGATGCAACATGTTCTATGATAACAAGTTTATCCTCAACCAATTCACGAACAAAGTGATGTCTGGTATCAATGTGCTTAGTTCTAGAATGTTGGACAGGATTTTTGCTCAAATCAATTGCATTTTTATTGTCACATCGTACAAGAAAAGAGTCTGAGTGGATACCGTAATCATTGAGCATTTGTCTCATCCATAACAGTTGTGAGCAACAGCTCCCAAGTGCTACGTATTCTGCCTCTGCTGTTGACAGCGAAACACATTTCTGCTTTTTGCTGTGCCAGGACACATTATTGCCAAGGAAGAAACAGCCGCCTGAGGTGCTCTTTTGATCATCCAAACACCCTGTCCAATCTGCATCACAATATCCAGCAAGATTAAGGTTAGTGTCTTTCGAGTAATAAATTCCATAGTCAAGTGTCCCTTTCACGTATTTTATCACTCATTTGACAGCAGTGAGATGTGACCCACGAGGAGCTGCTTGATATCTTGCACATAACCCCACGCTCAAACAGATGTCAGGTCGACTCGCAGTGAGTTATAGCAGACTGCCTATTATTCCTCTGTAAAGTTTCTCATCTACCTTGGGTCCGTCATCATCTCTGGACAGTTTTCTGGTGGTGCTCATGGGAGTGTTGGCAACCCGGCTGGTTTGCATGTCGAACCGTTTTACCAAATTCTTGGCGTAGGTGCTTTGAGAAACAAAAATTCCTTCTGAGGTCTGTTTGATCTGTAGTCCCAGAAAGTAATTTAGTTCCCCCACCATGCTCATTTGAAACTCAGTAGTCATCGTTGTCACAAACTGATTAACCAAGTTCTGATGAGTAGCTCCAAAGATTATGTCATCAACATATATTTGGACAATCAAGATGTCCTGCTTTGCACTCTGAACAAACAGGGTTTTATCAACACCACCTCGCGTGAACCCAGCCTAAAGCAGGAAGGTAGCAAGCCTCTCATACCAAGCTCGGGGAGCCTGTTTCAACCCGTACAGAGCTCATTTGAGCTTGTATACATGATTAGGAAAGGCTGGATCTTCGAATCCCTTAGGCTGTGCAACATAAACTTCTTCTTGAAGGATCCCATTCAGAAAGGCACTCTTGACGTCCATTTGGTAAAACATGATGTTCATTTTACATGCTATACCCAAGAGCAATCGAATAGATTCAAGTCTTGCAACCGGAGCAAATGTCTCGTCGAAATCTACACCTTCGATTTGACACTATCCTTGGGCTACCAACCTTGCTTTGTTACGAATCACATTTCCTTCTTCATCGGTTTTGTTTTTGAAAATCCACTTTGTCCCTACGACATTGACATTGTCTGGAGGAGGAACAAGATCCCATACATCCAACCGAACAAATTGCTCAAGTTCTTCATGGCAGGAAGCTACCCAGAACTCATCCTGCAGTGCTTGAGCAATGGTCATAGGCTCTGTGAACGAGATGAAGCATGCCAATTTGACCATGGCTTTGAAGTCTATCTGTTTTTTCCTCGTGATTCTCTCACCGTGAAGGTCTCCAATCAGATCTGAGGCTGAGTGATTTCTATGAACCTCAACTTGGCGGTCACAGCCTTGATCGTCTTTGTCGTGGATTTGATCTTCATGCTCAGTTATACTTTCATTTGACTCAGAGGCAGGAGTTGTGTTCCTTATGTCTGTGTGACACACATCGTCCGAAATGATCTCTTCAAGAGTGCATTGGCTATTATCATCAAAGACCACATTGATATTTTCACCAATGGTCTTCGTCCGATAGTTGTACACCCGAAACGCTCTGCTGTTGGTAGCGTATCCAAGAAAAATGCCAGTGTTACTTCTTGAATCAAATTTCCCAAGGTTGTCTTTGTCGTTCAGGATATAACACACACAACCAAAGATGTGAAAGTAACTGCGGTTTGGAGTTTTCCCATTCCAGATCTCATAGGGTGTGGTCTTGGTACCATGTTTGACATAGACGCGGTTGATGATATAGCATGCGGTATTGATAGCTTCTGCCCAGAACCGTGGAGATACCTTGTTTCCATGTAGCATCGCTCTAGCCATTTCTTGCAAGGTTCGATTTTTCCTCTCCACAACACCATTTTGCTGAGGTGTCCTTGGAGCAGAGTACTGATGTCTGATCCCTTGGCTTTGGCATAACTTTTCAAACACATCGTTTCGGAATTCCCCACCATGATCACTTCTAATCTGAATGATCGGTCCTTTCTCAGTTTTAAGCTGCAAAGCAAGTATCTTGAAGCTCTCTGCTGCATCGGATTTTTTCGCGCAAGAATCTCACCCAAGTGTATCTAGAGAAGTCGTCAACCAATACAAAAATATACTTCTTCCCATTAACACTTTCAGTCTGAGCTGGTCCCATCAAATCCATGTGCACCAGTTCCAGGATTTTTTGAAACCTTGTTTCTCTCAGAGCTTTATGCTGAACTTTCACTTGCTTTCCCTTCTGTTTCACACACGGTGTCTGTTGAAGCCTCCAAGGATGGAATCCCACGAACTACTTCCGCCTTCGCTAGCTTGCTTAATCCTCGGGTGTTCATGTGACCGATACGCTTATGCCATAAGTCAAGTTGTGATTCTTTTGCTGAAAAGCATTGGTCCGACACACACCACATATAACAGTTGTTGCCTGATCTCACTCCGAATAGCACAGTGTTCCCATTCTCATCTACCGCCTTGCGATCAAACCTGGTGAAGATCACTTTCAGCCCCTCGTCACATAGCTGACTTACACTAATCAAATTAGCTTTCAAGCCTTCAACATAGTAAACGTTAATCAAATTTGGTTGGCTTTCCTCCAGTAGGCTCCCAACTCCAAGAATCTTCCCTTGACCTCCGTCACCAAAGGTTACTTGACCACCGTTGATACGTTTTATCTTGTTAAAGTAGTCATGATTCCCAGTCATGTGCCGTGAGCATCCACTGTCAAAGTACCATGCCTTAGCAACTTCCACTTGGGATGAGGTATAGGCTACATTGCTCACAACTTCGGGTACTTCAGGACCTATGTGAGCAAGATTGCAGACAAGATTCACTTCAGCTAAGTCCGGTTCAGCTACTTCACCTTGTGAGGGCAAGTCATAGAGGAGATTCTTTGCAACCCACACCTTGCCATAGAATCTGGGTTCAGGATAGCATAGATGGCGTTTCCAGGCCTGTTTTATTTTACTCCAAAATTTGTAACAGTTCCTCTTCTTGTGGCCTCGTTTGTCACATAAGAAACAGACTCCTTTTCTCCGTTTATCAGGTTTTGGTTGGTCTGTCGACACAGTCTGAAGATTTTTCTTAGGATTGCATTGTTCAACTGCTTCTTTCAGTGGTGCAGGTCGTGTAGAAAGCTCGCCGACTGAAATACCACCGTGGACAAAACCCTGTAGGGTTCCAGAGACAGATGAGGTTTCTCCGACATGAAAACCTCCAGTGTACCCGAGACCCCAGTTCTTCTTTGGCGGTTGGCCTGAGGAGAGTATCTGATCTAGCTTCTCTGCACCAGTGTTGAGCATCCTGATCCGTTTATGATTCTCAATCAGTTCACCTTGCAACGTTCTTGCCCTTTCTTTCTCCTGATAACACACTTCCCTCAGGTTGTCCAGTTTTTCTTCCAATTCACGTCTTTTCTTTTGCTCTGCCATGAGTTCTTCTTTGATCTTGTCAACTCCAGCATCTGCATCTTCCAACACTTGTGTTACACACTGTTCTTTCTCTGTATTGGTAGTCCCTTGTTCCATTTCAAGGATGTTAATCTGAGCTTTCATAAGAGCTTTCTCCTTGATCAGTTGCAGATTTTCAGTGCTGATTTTTACCCAGTTATCATACAGTTTTCGATACTCAACCTTTGGGTCAATTTCCTCTTCATCTGACTCCGAATCTGTTTCAGTTGTTGGTGTTTGAGCCTGTTCCTTCCCTTCAGCAGTAAAGGCAACAAAATTCAGCATCAGATTCTCGTTATCTTCCTCTTCGTCCTCAGATTCGGAATCTTCAAAGACAATCATAGACTTGTCTTTAGACTTCAGAGCATTTGGACACTCACTTTTTGTGTGACCAAACCCTTTACACTCAGGACATTTCAACTTTTTTCGTTTCGTCAGAGGACAGTCACTCCTGAAGTGGCCAAATCCTTCACATTCGTGACATTGAAGATCTCGTTTTCTTCCTCCCCTATCACCTTCGGTTCTTGTGTTCCGATAGCTACCTTTTTCCCCTTCATTTCTTGGAAACTTTGTAAACTTGTTGTGACCTTTCTCAACCTTTTTCAGCATTTTGTTGAAGTTTCTGGCTAGCAGACTGAGATTTTCCTCACATTGGCTCATTCTATCTTTTTCATCTGCAGCCGTGAACGCAATACTTTTCTGAGAGGTTTTCTGATCAGCATTGGCTTCCATTTCCTCAGCCTTGAGAAGACCAACAAGTTTCTCAAACTTCATGGTGTCAGTGTCCATCGAATACTTCACTACAGCCTTGTGAGCAGCAAACTTGGGAGGCAGACATCTAAGTAACTTCTTCACGAGTTTCTTGTCCTTGAATTTCTTCCCTAACACTGCTGACTCATTTGCTATGGTGTTCAGTTTTGTGGTAAAGCTTGCGACAGATTCATCAGCAAACATCTTGAGATTTTCAAATTCAGATGCAAGGTGATCAATACGAGTTCTTCTGACGCTCGTGTCTCCTTCAAAGTGATTCACCAGGTATCCCACGCCTCTTTTGCTGATTCACAACCTTGAATAATCCCGAATTCATCAAGGTCCACTGCGGCAAAGATCGCAGACATGGCCTTTGAGTTGAATTTCGACAAACTCTTCTCAGTCTCAGTCCATTGGTTCTTAGGTTTATCGATGGTGATCTTATTTCCTTCCTTATCCTCAGACACTACAGTTGGAGCAGTCCAATCCTGTTCCACTGCCGTCCATGCATCTTCATCAATGCCTCGGATGATGTGTCGCATTCGAGCCTTCCAATGACCAAAGTTTCCCGACTGAAGTAACAAAGGCTTCTGAACAGCTACCAGTTCTTTCATCGTCTCCATGATCTCCACAAGATCTTCACCTGATGTAGAAAATAGTTTCTAGAAGGTGTCATGCTCTGATACCAATTGTAAGATCTATATCACAGAGACTAAGAGTTGAACACACAAAATTGCAAAAACACTCTTTTCCTTTTATTAAGAATCACTTAGACAATCCTTTAGATCTGTCTAATCAGAATTACACGACCTTGCATCTGCAACTCGATACTGAACAATTCTTAATCTACCCAATCCTAAACACAGCAACAGCTATGCAACTATCACAATGAACACGCTCACCAAAAATCCCAACCTCTCGTGCGGCTAGCTTTTTGTGACTTGTTCTCTCTAAAGGGCAAAATGTTCAGAAACCCTTTTCACTACTCTTTATTCACATTTTCCACCCTCGTGAATATCTTCTTTCCTTATTGTTGAGATCCTCTAATCTCCATATCTTGGATATTTGATATCTCAAAACAGCTTCCTGCTAGCTTCAATTCTTCGCTGCCACGTCAGCACCACTTGAGTTATTCTCTTGTCTTCAACTTGAGTTTCCTGCGTCCTTCGTACTCTGTGCTACACATGTCTCCCTATTGAACGTCAACTCCTTGACTCTTACACATGTTTCTTACAAGAGCTCCTGTTGGCGATGCATCAATGGGGTTGTGTATTATAAAGCCTGTCTTGATCATTCGAACGTTGATGTTATAATGAGTTTTGATGTCAGATCTGAGAAGTTCGGTGTGATACCATTACCAATGAATTATACCGCTTATGGTATGCTAATACCTTATGAGGGAAGATTAGCTTATGTTTACAATAATGCATGTGGCATTACATTGTGTATTTTGGAGGATGCAGAGAAACACGAGTGGACGTATAAACCCTTCTTTGCACGTATCAACCTTTACTATCCGAGTTTGGAAACCTATTTCCACCTAGATGGTATCACTCCAGCTGGTGAGTTTATTTATGTACCGTGGCAAGTACCTCTCAACCCGTTTTATATTTTATATTATGATCCCAAGAGAAACAGCTACAGAGAAATTGAATTTGCCGACGAAGAATTTAGGCTCAGTAATGGACTTGGAAACGGTGTGTATAGCCTCCATTTATGTGCGGATCACATCGAGAATCTCATGTCTTTGTAACAGTTCAAGTTGATTTTTGTTAGTTTCACTTGATTTATGGTAACTTTATTTGTTTCCTTGCTTCTGCCATGGCTTTCTCATAATTTTACCATTCCATAGTTTGTTTTAATTCCTTTCTTTTGGTTACCAGTTTCTGTAGTATAAGAGATTAATCTAATGAGAGACGCATTTAGCTTTCACTGAATCAAAAGAATCGATATCTTTAATGATTTATATGGAACCAAGAACACTTTTTTTTTTTTATTGATTCACAGGTGAAAGAATCATCATATCTGTGCAGCGTAATGCATTTAAACATTTTACGGGTCGAAATGTTGGAGCTCAATGCTCCGAAGAATATTGTGTACTGTATATATACACGCACACACACACATCAGAACCATTAATCGTGGAGTCGTGGATAACATCAAATTTAAATATAACATGTTGTTTTCATTGGACGGAATAGTTTTCACTTTTCATGTGTGGTGAATAGAGTGCAGAGCAAGAAAATTTTGTAACCAAAACTTGACTTTGATACGTGATTCTTATTCATACAGAGCAAAGTTTCTCGAGAGAAGCCAATTGATAATTTCATCAACTTTATTTTCTTCGAGGGATAATCCAACTCAAGAATCCCTAATTAATATCTTCCCTAATTCTGGATCGCACGCAACTAGTTTCTTCATCCCAATCTCAACTTCTGTGTGTAGATTTAGGGTTTCGTAAGATTTTCAGATTATTAGAAAATCGTAAGGCTATCTAATCTTTGATCTTTCCTTTTTTAACTGAAAAAAAGGATTTCCATTTTTGTGTGTGTACGTAATCGATTTTCACAGTTCGTGAATAGAGCCAGGTAATACAAACGTATTTATGTTTAATTCTCTCTAAAAATTAGTTTTGCTTTAATTGGTTTAGCAATTAGCAATTAGGTAAACCGAAGAAATTGAACTTAAATTGGTTTGGTTTTGACTATGGTTTCGTAACGTTGTAATTTAACGCGGGGTTTTACTTTTATAATTGGTTTAATTAAACCGATATTGGTTTGATGTGGTATAACGTTGAAGCTAGGTTTCCTTTTTTGGTAGAGCATCATACCCTATAAACCTTCTATATATACACACAGAGAAGCCATCACTTGTCTGTTCCACACGGAAAACAAAATATTGCCTCCACAAAGGAAAAAACCTCTCTTCTCTCGTAACTGTGTCTCTGTTGTTGTGAAATTATTTAAGAAATTCGAAGATATGGTGAAAAGAGGCGGTAACAAGAGGAAGATTCCTATGGAGAAGATCACGAAGAAAGAATCACTCGCGACTGCTTTCACCAAAAGGAGTTACGGTCTTTTCAGTAAAGCCTCGCAACTCTGTCTTCTCTCCGACGCACAAATAGCCGTTTTAGCGACTCCTCCTTCTTCGCATTCACATGTCTCCTTCTTCTCCTTTGGCCACTCTTCCGTAGATTCTCTCGTCTCGGATTTTCTCAAGGGAAAGCGTCCTCTTCCTGTGGCTCGAGAAGAGACGAGGGAGGAAGACATTGGTGTCATCTTGGCTCGTAAAGATTTGGGTTTAGGGTTGTGGTGGGAGGACGAAGTTCTTGCCAAATCGGAGAATCCTCAAGAATTGAACGACGCTATGAAATCCATGTCGACTCTGTTGAGAAAATTCAAGGAGTTGCGTTCGGGAGAAGCTTTAAGATCAAACCCTAACTCGGATCAAACCCTAATTCCTCAATCTGACAACGAGAAGAGCGAGACGGATCAAACCCTAATTCCTCAAACCCTAATCCCTGATGATGATTTGCCTGCAAATTTCAACGAGAACACTGAAGAGCAGAGTAAGATAGTTGCGATTTGTGAAAGCTTTCGTGTTACGGAGGTGAAGAATAACATTAACAACAACAACGACGACAAGGATTTAACTGGAAGCTTGGACGTTGGGTACGATCAAGAAGTGGATATTGATCAGTTAATAGATTTCGACATGGCTTTTGATGCTTCAGCCTTCGATGATTGCCTTTTCGAGGGTACTCAGGAGAACACTACAGAGTTCTGATCATGTATAACCCTACCCACAACTATTATGTGTTCTGTTCATTTTGGTTAGAGATATGTATGTCTTTCTTATTGATGTAATGAAAGGGTTCTGTTTGACCTTGATCAATTATTCCATATTTTATGGAAATTGATCCAACTCAAACGGTTCATCTTCGGTGTAGATTAATGGTAAAAATCTGTTTTATGTTTTGCATTTGTAGTTTCAAATCCAGAAATCTTGTCTTTTATCAATTTAATGAGAACAAAAAAGGAAATATCTTTGATCAACTTATAGATGGTTGATCGTATCTTTCTACTAAATTTGGTAGCTAGCCAAAAAGATAAAGATAGTCATGGAATCAATGAGTATTACAGCAAAATCAGGTGAAATTTCGATTCTGTTCATAGAGTATAACCATCTAGCTGCAAGCCTGCAACTACTCTCAACCTGTCCTTTGCCACGCCTATTACACTTGGGAACAACAAGCGATAATGGATTTTTAACATGTACTCTGCAAATGTTTGATGATTTGGGTCTTACTTGCTTCAGATGTCAACAACAATCATATGAATGCAACACAGGTTTCTTGCAAGAACGTGATTCCCTTTACGGACAATTCTTATCTAAGATATTTAAGAACTCCTAAATGAATCCCATAGAGCTCCCAAATCAACATTACCTCCAGAGAGTACAATCCCTATGTTTTTGCAATCTTTCCAAGAAGGATTGCTACGGAAACTCTTTGATAAAACTGCTGCTAGTCCAATGGCACCACTTGGTTCCACAGAGACTTTCAGTATCTCGTAGCACATTCTCATGGCTTCTATTATCTCCCCATCTTCCAAAATCACCACATCATCTACCAGATCTCTCACTACCGGCCTGATTGAACAAAAACAAAATATTTTTAGATGGAATGATACAGATTGCAACATTTTATGTTCTATAACATGATTCCTCTACTAAGTAAGAATTAGATTTACCATGTTAAATCTCCTAGAGAAGCTCTAAGGCCATCAGCTATGGTATTGGTGACAGGTAAAGTGATGATTCTACCAGCAACCTTAGACTGAGCCGCATCATCAGCTCCTTTGGGTTCAGCGGCTATGATCCGGATGCTAGGCTTAATCGATTTGGCAGCAAGAGCCACACCAGAGATCAACCCACCCCCACTTATTGGCACAATTATAGTGTCAATCTCTTGGATTTTCTCTAGCAGTTCCAATGCAACTGTGCCTTGACCACTGTTCAAAGAATCATAACCCAAACTTTTAGTTGAAAATGACTTGGCAGTTGCAGCCATCACACTTTTATAGCAGAAAAGAACAGATAACCCATCCCAAATCATACTAATATGAATTTTTGCCCCAAAAAGATATAACATAATCTTTCAGAGGATTTACTACTCTGCTGTATTAAGAGTTATGCATAAGATTGAAATTTCTGTTTTTCTAGCCAAAAGAAAGCTCTAGAGTAACAGTAATTTGAAAAACCATTATCGAGAAAGCCACAATACCTTATAACACGTCCATCATTATATGGGTGGATGAGAACTGAACCTGTTTCCTGCAAAACTTTTGAAGCTACTTTCTCTCTAGAAGACATTGTTGATTCACTCCATATAACCTTACCACCATAACGGATCACATTATCAACTTTGCACTTTGGAGCACCTTTAGGTACAACGATATACGCAGGGATTCCATGAATCTTTGCAGCTAAAGACAACGCAGCAGCATGGTTGCCACTGTTATAACAAAACCAAACAGTAAATCAGTAAGGGACTACCAAGTGAATACAATAGAAAAACATCATCAAGTACCCAAATCACTAGTACAGAACCTGCTGTGTGTTACAACCCCTTTGGCTGCTTGTTCAGCATCAAGCGACAAAACAGCATTGCACGCCCCCCGGAATTTGAAAGCTCCACTTGTTTTTTCACAATAAACAGAAAAGGAAAAGTGATCAATAGTGAGGACAATGAGAGAAACTTCAGAGAGAAAAGCAACATTGATAGCTAATAAGTACCCTCACCTACCCTTTCTGAAAGCACTCGCACTTAAAGAACAAGCTTCTTCCGGAGATTGAATTCAACGATTCAGATGTTAACACCGGGGTTTTGTGAATAAACGGCTTGATACGCTCATGTGCTTCCTTTATGGAAGATATATCAGCAGCATATTTCTGTTCATTTGCTTCCATTTCTAAAGGAACTTCATTATCACAACATCAACTTCTAGCTTATCAAGAAGACCATATCCTGATTCATGCTTAATATTTGTATAAACATTGTACCCACCAATGATTCTTCCTAGATAGTTACAAAAATGTTAACTTTACTCAATTTTACATAAAATCAGCAGCCTATTTGTGTCTCTTTTCCTTCCATTTCTAAAGGAAAACATTCAAAGGAACTTCATTTATCACAGCATCAACTTCTTGCTTATCGAAAACACCATAACCTCATTCATCCAAACTTACTTCAAATTTGTTAACTTTATACTCAGTTGAATGACCTTTACAAGCTAAAACATTTCGAGTCAGCATTACATTGCACTTTTCAATTTACAGTTTCGATTGTAAACCATAAGCATCAGAAGAAGACAAAAAAATGAAAACTTTGCGCTAAACAATACGAAGAGACTTCTATACCCAACATTAAAGAAACTGGAACAAAGAAATTTACCTGATTTCACAAATGAGGGGTTTGGGTTTAACCCTCTTTAGGATTGGGAATTGTGGATTCCAGAGAACATAGACGTCTCTTTCAGAAAGCAGTCACCGGAAAACACAGCACGATGTTGTGGTACTAAATTAAAGAGCGTTGCGCTGTTTTCATACAGAAAAACGTTGTGCATACTTTGTATATATAAATAAAACTGTCACATGTTTTCTATATAGTTAGTGTTAAAGAAAGTAAATTAGGTGGACTTCCACCTAGAGATGTCAAACGGGTCAATCCGCGTCCAAATAATCCAAACTCATGCGGTTTAATTTTTTTTTGGGTCTGGTGGGCTGATCCATCATAAGCTGCGGTCCCAAATTGATGTGTCCAAGTCCGACCCGCCTATATTCTGCGGTTTTGTAGGCTGGCTTACGGATTCATACTTTCTTCTTCATCTTAAAGTTTTTATGACATTTAGATTTATAATACCAGAAAATTTGCAAGAGGAGAATAAATCACAATATGCATAAGAAACAAAACTAAAGAAAATTCTTGTCTAAGTAAATTCGATGAACAAACAAATGAATTCGATAAACTTATTATACAAAACTCCTAACCCAAGGATACCATAAGATTTGAAAAATCAATTTAACTGTAAAAATAGACACTTAGTTTTGAAAAGCAAATAAATGAATTACAAATAATGATACACATAAAAACTGGTAATTTAAGCTAAATAACCATCAAGATACAAGCAACAAGACATTCACATATAGATATATATATATATATATATATATATATTATATATAAAAAAGATGAACAAAGCTTATTTGTTAGTCCAGCATACAAACAAATGTGATTTTCAAGCAAAACTATTTATTGTCAATTCAAGATTTAAGAGATTCTAAATTACCTTTGTATCGCTGCGGACAAAATAAAAACCACGTCCGTGATATAGTCGATGAGCAAAACCAACAAAAAAAACAAACTTATGACATTAAACTGAAATTAATTAAAACTCTAAAAAAAATACTAGTTTTTAGCTGGGAAGACAATGATCAGATTTTCTCCCAAATTCAAAAATCCAATCACAGAATCTGAATCAAATCGAATATAAAACACATACCAGTTTGATGATTCCTTGATCTCATTGAAATGAAGCTATCACAAAGCCCAATAGCTGAATTGTATGACTCCACTAGGCTTCGATTCACTCCATGAAACTACTGCTTCGAAATCCGCCAATCAAAAATGACAAAATACTTCACTTTTCGAAGTTTACAAGAAAACATCAAATTTTACGGGTTGGCCCGCAAACCCGCGAATCCGCTTTGACCCGATCCGCAAAAGCCCAACTTCCACGTGGGTTTAGACCGCAAAACCCGCTTTTTATTTGGACAAATTTTATGGAGCCCAAGCCCGCACCGCTGTGGTTTTACTTGGGCCGAACCCGCGGATTAGAGCCCAATTTGACACCTCTACTTCCACCATGGCGATTAGACTTTAACTATGGTAGAATTCAACGATGTAAGCCGCTTAAACAATGCATAAATTATAGGGGCCTAGAAAAAAAAATATTTTAAATTAAGTTTTCGATAATTTAAAAAAAAATTGTTCACGCAATTGTTAATGGGATTTGGAGTAAGCAGTTTCTGAATGTTTCAATAACTAAAATGGATGGAAATGCTTTTTTGTTCAGAATCCCAAACGCTGCCAGCCTGCCACTCGAGCTCGGGTTCTTGCTCAACGCCTCTGGAATATTGAAAGGCAGACCATGCTTGTAGTTGACTGGGAACTAGGATTTGTCCCGATGAATCCAGAAATGTTCCCCTTCAGTTTTTCAATGTTCCACTCAAGCTGGTGACCTCAAATTTCTGCACCTTTCAACTGCGAATAAAACAAACTTGGAGGTGGCTAAGGTCTTCACCATCATCGATCCGAGAAAACCGCTGCCGGAGGTAGTGAACGTGCGGTTCCAGTCGGGTGAGGTTTGGAGAGTAAACGTTGCTAGCCCTTGGATGCCTCAAGTTTGTTCTCACTGCAAAGAAATAGGGCATAGCATTAAGAGATGTAAGAAAGCGCCTCCCACATACTCTATCTGTAAATCCTCTGCTCATTCTGATGAGAAGTGCACGAGATCGAAATCAAAGCAGAAGAGTTTTAAGGGAAAAGCATCGGTAGAAGCTTTGCAAGGTCAGTACATTGCCGTTTCAAAGAAGCTTGATAAGCCAGCCTCTGCTCCTCTACAAAAGGACAGCGGCAATGCTAAGAGTGGAAAAGAGTCATATTTCAACCAGTCTCTTGTTGGTGAATCGAGTGCAATGAGCACTGTTGTTGTTGAGGAAGCTTCGAGAGTGGAGAAAGCTAATGGAAAGGGGATTATGCTCTCTTTCTTGGAGGCTGAACCAGAATCTTCTGATGTGGAATCAACTGATTCAGAGGAAGGAGAATTGAGAGATAAAGAAGATGATTTTATTTGAAGTGCTGTCTAGAAGGAAGCAAAGGAATAATCGGGATAAGGGTCCCAAAAAACACTGATTTTTTTTTGTGTGTATAAGACTTTTTTGGCTGGAACGTGGGTGGTTTTAATAAGAATAGCCACCGCACTGGGTTTAAGAAATGGTTCAAGCAGAAAAATCCACTTTTTGGTAGTCTTATGGAGACTCACGTCAAGCAGGCTAAGCAGAGGAAGTTCATCAATTCTATTCTTCCTGGCTGGCAATTCAACGATAACTACGGCTTTTCAGATTTAGGTAAAATTTGGGTTTTATGGCACCCTAGTGTTAAAATCACTATTCTATCAAAGTCTCTTCAAATGGTGGCCTGTGGGGTCAAGCTTCCTGAGTACACAAGCAAGTTCATAGTATGCTCTGTGTATGCTTCTAATAATGAGGAGATGAGAAAGCAGCTTTGATAGGAGATTGTTCAGCTTTCTGCAAATCCAAGTGTCTCTGGTAAATCCTGGGCTGTAATTGGTGATTTCAATCAGACCTTGTACCCCTCTGAACATTCCCCTTCTCCTGGTGGAAATGTGGATACGCCGACTAGAGACTTCTGTGAAGCTCTCCTAGATGCCTCGCTTGAGGATTTAACTTACAGAGGTTGTCTGTTCACCTGGTGGAATAAGAGGGCTCTGAACCCTGTGGCTAAAAAGCTTGATAGGATCCTGGTAAATGTCTTGTGGCATATACAGTTCTCCTCTTCTTTTGGGGTTTTTGGTACGCCTGATTTCTCAGATCACACCTCTTGTGGTGTCGTCTTATACCCTGCTCACTGATGCGAGCTAGGGTTGATGTCGCAAAAGAAGTTTTAAATTTGTAAACCCTAGTGTCTGCAAGTGTACAGTCGTGTGTTGTAGTACTTAGGATACATGGAGAGTTGTCTTTTCTGCAAAAACTTCAAACTGGATTAGTAATCGAAGTCAAAGACCAATGGAGTTTTTTTGTAGGGTTTTGGGGTCACGATTTCTACTAAGCTAAACAAGAAATAAAAATAGATCAAAACAAAGATGAAAAACGTGCAGGGTATTAGAGTTCATCTTTAGGGTTCATGATCTATGACACAAAGAATCTAGGTAAGGATTTTCTATGATTCTGAAACTAGGATATACACTTATAAGATTAGCCAACTCTCGTCACCCTAATCATCTAATAACTTAATCTCGGAAATTAACTCTCGCTCATGCCGGAATAAGATCATGCATTTCAGATCGGAATCTATCTCGGCTTACGTATCCTCCATAGGTAGCTTTCGTCTCGACGGTGACGTCCATAAGATCCAGTTCAGATTACCCATATACAACACTCTCATGGCTCGGATTTAACCTTAGATCGGATACTGGTTAGCTACTCCAGCATACAGCATTAAGAACAGGATGAATGGGAGAATTATTTAAAATCAAAATCCTTTAATCTAAAAAACCTAGATGTCATCGGTCATGGGGTCCCTTTCGATGGCCCTCTTACCCAACAAGGTAACTACTCAGACATGGCTGAGCTTGACAACATCATCATTGGTTTTGAAACAGAAAAGCAGTAAAGTAAATTAGATTGCATAAACTGAATAGTTTGATAAAAAAAAAAAGAACAAAAGTTCTAAGAGAAAAATATATATCTCCCTGACTAAACCTAAGAAACAAAAGTTGGGTGCCTCCCTATCAAGGGAAAAGGAGCACACACAAAATTAGGTCTTCTAAAATACATATTTATAGGTCTCCACAGGGCTGGCCCAATGGGTGTTGCTGCCTAAAGCAAAAAAAAAAAAGTATTTGAGCCCATTATTAAAAAATTACAAAATATACCATCATCTAGTCTCGAACCCATGTACTAGTGGTTTACTAATCGATGTTTTGACACTGCACTTCAACACAATTTCAGATTTTGATGCCCTAAATTGTTATATATTTGTTGACGCCCTAAAGCAAGGGCTTTACCTGATTTAGCTACGGGCTGGCCCTGGGTCTCTAAGTATTTCTGGTCGTTTTTAGGGCTTTCTTTGAAGAGAGAATGAGTTGGGCTTGAAAACGGGTCATTAGACCAAAAATGGATTTGTCGCAGAATTGGGCTTTCCATGGCTGGTAAATATGAGTTCACCGTGGGTGGAGGCTCTGAGGCGTGGCCAGGATGGTGTTCACCGCGGTCACGAGCTCCTGAACCGCGGTGGTTGGCCTATGATGTCCAAACTTCATTCCTTCTCTTGCTTCTTTTGCGAGACTGCAGAACATGTCTTCAGTAAATTGAAAATAACCTATGACCCAACCGTTGGATTGCGTCCAATTCAATTTCATTAGAAAGCCGGTTGTCTCCTCTATCTTGTGTCCAAATATGAGCTTGATCAGACAGTGAGAAAGTCTTCATCGGATGTGAAACTTCTGACAGTACGAAATTGGGCAAAAGTGGATTTTTGTCTAATTTGCATTGTTTTTGTCTCAGAAACCTGAAAAATCTTTTAAATTTCCAGAACATGAAAAACACTTATAAAACCTTTAAAACTGATTGAAAACACATGCATAAGATACTGAAAGCGATCCATGAATATGGTCAAAATCATTTGTTATCACTCACCAACGTTAGAAGAAGCCATTTAAGTTTCTAAATTTTCTTCTGCAAAGTGGTGACTTTTTGGATGTGGTGGAGAACCATTGGGTTTCTCATAAGGTGGTGGGATCTGCCATGTTTCTTGTTTCCCAGAAGTTGAAAGCTCTGAAGAATCCGATCAGGTCCTATAGCAAAGCAAACTTCTCTAATCTGGAGAAAAGAACAGAGGAGGCCCATGAGTTTGTTATTGCTAGTCAGGAGAACATGCTTCGTGATCCCACATCTTCTAATGCTGCTTTGGAACTTGAAGCAACCCGAAAATGGCAGATACTTAGTAGAGCAGAAGAGGCGTTTCTTTTCCAAAAATCCAGAATCACTTGGATTAAAGAAGGAGATTGCGGTTCTGCTTATTTTCAGAGAATGATGTCGGCGAGGTCATCTTCTAACCACATTCACTCTCTTGAAGACTCAGATGGATTCATCTATGAATCCCAGCAGGACATTTAAAGCCACTGTATTAATTACTATGAGGACCTTTTGTGGGGGGGGGGGGGGGGCGAGGTGAGTCCCTCTATTTTCACTCAGGAGGACATATCTAATCTCTTGGATTTTGAATGTTATCAGATCCAAAGAGCCAATCTGGAGAAGGAGTTCTCAGAGTTGGAAATTAAAAACGTCTTCTTCTCTCTGCCTGCGAACAAGACCTGTGGGCCAGATGGCTTCTCTGTGGAGTTTTTCACTGGGTGCTAGAGCATTGTTGGCCCAGAAGTGACTGAAGCCGTCGGTGAATTCTTCAAGTCGGGTAGAATGTTAAGACAATGGAATTCTCTAGTTCTCATCCCAAAGGTGTTAAATGTGGCCAAGCTTTCTGACTTCAGGCCAATCTCCTGTCTAAACTTATTGCTTCGAGATTGCAGCATTTGCTTGATGTGGTAATATCGCATAATCAGTCTGCTTTTATGTCTGGGAGGCTCCTAGCTGAAAATGTTTTGCTCGCTACGGAGATTGTAAATGGTTATAGTTGGAAATATATTGAGCCTCGTGCAATGCTTAAAGTTGACCTCTGTAAAGCGTTTTATTCGGTGAGATGGGATTTCGTTCTTACAATGCTTAGAGGCCTTAACATTCTAGAAAAGTTTGTGAACTGGATCTCAGAGTGTATCTCCACTCCCTGGTTCTCAGTGTCAATTAATGGGCAATCCAGTGGTTTCTTTAGAAGCTCCCTGGCTCCGTTTTCTCTATACCTTTTCGTGCTAGCTATGGAAATTTTCTCGAGGCTGCTTCACTCCCGCTTTGAATCATGTTACATCAACTATCACCCAAACACCGAGTTTTTGAAGATTTCTCATTTGATGTTTGCGGATGATGTGATGATTTTTTTCATTGGTAGCAGCTCATCTTTACATGGTATTAGTTAAACTCTGGATGACTTCGCTAGTTGGTCTGGTCATCAAACTATACCGATCCAAACCCAAAAAATACCAAACCGAACGTGATCCAAATTTTTAAAATACCTAATCGATACCTAAGTGCCTGAACCTGAACTAACTGAAATCTGAAATACCCAGCCTGAACCCGAGGATTCGAATACACCCCTAGGTGGAACTATGGTTCAAACAAGATATTTCACGTTGTGCCTTCATTGCATGGTCGGCAGTGCACAACCACCTCTAATGGTTATGGAATGCAAGCTTGGAGACAACACCGTAGTTGTCTATTGTGTGGAGAATCAGCAAAACGAAGGTTCACCTTTTTTTTTGTTTAATTTTCCTACATTTTTATGGTACGATCTAAGGTTGTGGGAATTATACTTGGACATGAAGTTGATCCTAACTGGTTGGAAACTCTCATCTTCCTCTACACTAGTTTTGCCAATGAAATGTGCAAGCATAATCTTCCACTGCCTCGCTTACTAAGTGTCGATGTATCAAATTTGACGAGTGAAGAACACGCGATTTCATTGTTATGGTTAGAAACTTCCTCATCCCCTTGCCCGTGAGATTAAATGAATGATTCACGTATGGACATCCTATATTCGTTATCGTGACAACTCGAAACTTTACAAGTTGATAATGGAGGTTTGCTTCTCAAGTGCAAAATCCAACTGTTATTGTTTAGGAAATATTTTTTTAAGCTCTGTTTTACTTCATTTTTTATTTCTTTGACTTTTTGTTCTTGGTTACACTTGTAGATATTTAGTCCTATTTAATAAATATCACATTCAAACAAAAAACAAATAAAAAACATCATGTTAGGTGTAGGATTTAGTTTATAGGGTTCAGAAATAATTTTTATAATCCAATTAACATACACTAATGCGCCTAGAGTTCACCTACTATACCCACGGGCCACGGCGAACTACTTAAATCTGCTAAGGAAAGTAATTAACACAGATTAAACCTGTGAAAAAAATGTAACAAAATTTTAGGACAAACGGAGATAGGACAAAAGCTATATAATGATCATACATTCCTAAATTTTCTCAGATACAAATCAGACATATATAGATGAATTTTGTTTCCGTGAAAAGGAAGCTTCATTAATCTATCGACTTTCAATATCTTCTTTCTTCAGGTAGCAAGCTCTCGCTTGTACGTCAAGAACTCACGAGAATGGAGCTTCCCACTTCTTTGTTTCAGATAACGTACACTATTCTTTTGATTATCATATTGTATCTTGTCTAAATTTAGCTTTTATCTAAGGTTCTTCCAACCATAATATATTCAAGATTGGATCGTCATAATTTATCTCTTGTTCTGATTATGTACTTAGCATAATGAGTGTATTTCCTGGATTTGGTGGGTGGATCAATCAGAACATGCAACAGCCTCTTAAGGTCAGTTTTCATTTCCATCGATCAATAAAACCGATTAATTATACATTATACAAATTATACCATGATTCTGTTTGTTTTTGTACGTAGGCCGAGTCCAAGAGACATGAGAATGTTAAATCTAATTCAGATACTAATAATCCGGAACCATGGTATGAGGATCCTGATGAGGACCCTGAGTCGAAGGTAATAACAAATCAAGAAAAAATATAATTTTTTTACTATATCGGTTAATTGTTAAATTAGATTTTTGTTTTTGTTTTTTTTTATGATATTAAAATTAGATTATGTTTGTTGTATTAGGCCGCGGCCAAGAAACATGGGGATGTTAAATCTAGGACATTATATTCGGTAGATCCTAAATATTTTGATTTAGCTGAGCTGAAGAGACAAGCAAGAGTTTGGACAAATGCAAACAACAAGCAGCCATGGTATGATGCTCCGGCTAAGGTGAAGGTAAATATAGCAAATCATCAAACAAAATACCAATATTTTTTTATTTAATTATATGAGTTGCTAGAATTATGAAAAGAAGTTGTTAAAACTTTCTAACATTTTTTTAAAGGTGAAAACAAAAAATGGTCTTTGCCATTTGAACATAGAATTCACATTAGGATTATTTCCTCAAGGAGCCTATGAGATGCTCACTAATCCAAGAAACATATCATTCTTCAGTCCATTCGACAACGATCACTCTAGCCAGCGTCTGGTTTGTTTTTTTTCTTTCTCATATGTATGATTGAAATTGAGTATGAATTATTCCAAAAAACTTGAGAGTGTGTGGTCTTTTTTCTTATAAAGGAAAACAAATCAACAAAGGTTTTGAAGAAGGATGGACCAAGGCAGATCACAAAGGTGGGGAAAGCTTTGAGATGGAAGCTCCTTTGGTGGTCTGGAACTATCCCGATACATCTAATCATCGATGAAAACCATCAAAATCTTACGGTGACATACCTTATCTATATCCCTCACAAGAATCAATTTTTTTTTTTTGTTGGGTTCGATTTTGAGTGAACTAAATTTTGATTTTGATCATCTCTTGATTAGGCAAAATATAAAAAAGAGAAGATGATGTACATGAAAGTGTTGGAGGGTAGCTGGAAAGTTGAGCCACTATACATAGATGCAGACCGCTTGTGCAAGCACATTGACCCCAAGAATCAACAAGAGTACAAAAAATGTAGCGGAGGACAAGGAAGGATTGCATCGAAGGTGACAATGGAGGAGATCTTTGAGCCTTCTCCTCTTCTTAATTTACCACCGGTTTCTTGGATCATGCGTGCGATCGTCATCAAAACCACCAAGATTTTGCTGGAAGATCTTAGACATTTTGTTATCGATGACATGAAGAATAGTTGAAACGGCCCAAGTCCGGTATCGGTATGGACCGGTTATACTGTGGTGGTACTATCGAACCACTTTGATTATACTGTATATGGTTATCAGGTTATAAAGTCACTTTGTTATACAGGTACTCCGAATACGGGAAAAAAGAAAAGAAAAATGAACAAAAGCTCGTCTGTTTCAGATTAATATAGCTTCATCACAAAAATGTTAATCAAGTAACAAAAGCTAGCTCTTGAGCGAGGCGAAGTGTTTTTAATGTTTCAAGAAGATCACCCAATCGCGTCAGCAATGACGAGGCGTTTCCGTTGTTGGGAACAGCGCCGAGCCGTGTTTACAACAATGAGGCGTGTCTATGACTTCAGATAATACCGAGCCGTGAAGAAATGGCAAAGTTCCTGAGGCTCACTGGTCTTGTACTTCGTGTGTGGTTGTTTGAGTGTTTTTTTGTTTAGAATAATAACGGCGAGGCAATTTTTTACGAGATTTTCCGAGCCGTTCTACATTAATGACGAGGCGTTTTTATTCAAGATAATGTCGAGCCGACAAGGTCAGATGATATCTAGACGACGTGGCGAGTTAGTGCTTAGACGATGAGGCGAGGTGATGCCTAGGAGAAAAGGCAAGATAATGCTTAGGTGACAAGGTAAGATGATGCCTAGATGACAAGGCAAGATGATGCCTAAGCGGTAATGCAAGATGATGCCTAGACGACGAGGCAAGATGATTCTTAGGCGACGAGGCAAGATGGTGCGTAGGCGACGAGCCGAGATAATGCCTAGGCAACAAGCCGAGATAATGCCTAGGTGACGAGGTAAGATGATGCCTAGGCAACGAGCCGAGATCTTCTTCATTAACGTGGTTAGCATGCTCTTTATCTCGTCCTGAGCTTCGGTTGTTGTTGCCGGTTTTTCTGGGGGTGCATTCTTCTCCATGCTGTTGTTGCTATTGTTGTTGTTGTTCTCGTCATCGAGGTGTTTTTCGCCATACTCTTTGGATCTTAGAGTCTTGTCAATTTTCAAGTAAGAAGATTTCGATTCCCCACAGATGGCGCCAAATTTTGTGAGCCAAAATTCGTACAATCAAAACTTGTAAAGAAACTTAAAGGGATCAAAAATTTCTAGGGTTTAGCGCAAGAACATAAAGATCAAAATAAGATTTTTATTGCTGCGAAAGTGTTTAGTCTTATTGCTTAGGGTTGCCAAAGTTACATAATGAGATGCATATATTGACTATTTATGCAGAATCAATAAACCGCCTAGCCGAGAATCTTGGGAGAGATTCTCGAAGATTTTCCTTATCGCCTTGCACAGTCGTCTTCTTATAACCTAGGGTTTTGTGTGGGCTTCAATCTCGCGGTTAGGCATGTTAACCCCTGGAGATCATCCGGCTCGGCCCACTTATTCACGATGCAGCTCGACCCATTGTTTATGATGCGGCTCGAACCAGACGCAGCACGGAGCCGCTTGTTCCCTCACGGCTCAGTCCAGATGCTCCACGGAGCAGCTCGGCCCATTTGTTGTTCTTGGCTGGACTCGGTCCATACTCGACGAGCCGTTGTTCTCTTTTGCCAGCTCGGCCCACCTGCAGCTACGGCTCGGGTTTCAAACACTTAGTCATTTCTAAGAAGGGTAAGCTCGTTGAGGTTGAAAACGGTACCAACAAGGAGCGGTTCCGCAGCAGGCAGAACATGTCAATGAAAGTTGGTGAGATCATCAGAGGCATGATGCAAGCATAAGATTCGGATCCGACCATGTCGGATCATGAACCGACCAAGTCGGATCACGAACCGACCCGCCAAACTTGTGACCCAAGGACCGTTCAGGTATATTAAGCTGGATTAGATAAAACTCTATAAATACCTTTTCCCTTTAACGAGAAGGGGGTTCACTCTTTTTGCTAACTTAAGGCTCATGCTAACTCTCTAGATACTCGTGATCCTTAAGCCATAACACTTTACATTTCCGGTCATTGTTACGACCATCTCTTGACTTCTTCTCCACGGCGGTTCCTAAACCATAGAGCACTCTCACCCCAAACTTCTTACACTTCTTCTTTTTTTCACCTCAAAAAGCCCATTACCACACAAAGGTCCAAGCAGATTCCATTTTTCTCATGAGCTCTCAGCCAAACTTCCTTCCTCCATTTTCTGATCTCTTCCCTCTCTCCAATTTGCCACTTCGTGGTCTTTCTTTCACTGTTTTCTGACTTGAGCATAGGAGAGCCATCAAAAAACACCCCTCCATCATGTTTTCAAGGCCTTCACGCGTTTGCTAGTTTTGCAGGAGACTTGCCTGCGCAGATGACTAAAAATTCCCTAAACAGTTCTGCACTAGATGAACAACACTCTCCAAGCAAAATTTTTCTATTCGGGTCAGAAAACCACCAAGAACACATATTTGGAGGCAACAACCTATGAATGCAAATGGGAGAGACCCAGAGAGTGATTGGCAAAAAACTAAACACCGTTAGAGCCAGAGCGAAAAACTGCCAGTGCCAAGTGGGCATGATCGAGTTTAGAGAGAATAAACCTTACATACCCAGCGGCTCAAAGGATCCCGGCCAAAGGGAGAACGCCGAGGGAGGGGCAAGTGATGACGAATGGGAGATTACCGGAGACCAAGGAGAGGAGCCGGAGGAAAACCCCCTTGTAGCATGTTCCACTGCCATCCCCGGATGGTGCGACCAGAGGTAATTGGAGGAAGAAGTGTGGGTAACAAATCAGATCTATAACCCGGAGGTGAAAAAGGGAACCGGAGAAAGACAACATAGTTACGAGGGAAGAACACAGCGTCCTACCCGCTCAAGGATCACAACACGCATAAAAAGCTGGAAACCCCTCAAGTGAGGAAAAACAAGAAGACAAAAATAAGGATAGGCCGACCAAAAAGAAAAAAAAAATCATTTTTGGAGTTGGAAACATGAATTCTTAGCTTTTATGGGTTTAATTTTTAAGGTTTACATTAAGATTTTTAAAATAATGCCGGTGATTCTTTTCAAAATATATCTAAGATGATTTGAATAAAACTTACATATATTTTATTTTCTTGATGATCCAACTCATAGTTGTAAGGCACTTTTTCCAAATAATGGAAATACTTAACTTAGCATATATAATTGAAGATTTGAATTATGCTTACAGATATATATATATATATATATAACTTTTTAAATAATTCATTCATAGTTGTAAAAGATTTTTTTCTAAATAATGGAAATAATAAACAAACTAATTTAGAAAACCAAAAAAAAAGAAAGTAAAAAGATATGTAATATGACAAGTTTAATAGCACATTTAATGTTTTTCTACCCTTTATATTTATGAAAATTATTAATTAATTTTTTTAACATCATAAATTTTGTCTACAACTACTATAAATTGACCACTCATAATCGGAGTTTTTAATAACTAAAAACTAAAAACTGTAAAGTTCGAGAATATTTCTGATAAAAGTCAGGATTGTTAGACCTTATAATAGGTGAAAAAATGGATCGGATGCAAAGGAGTGCCTATCATCACGATCGCTTTATTTATGCGGCTGTACAACTTGGCGGAATACATCGTAAGTTAGTTATTTTTCTTGTTTTGTATGATTTTCTAAAATAAAATCAGGAAAATCATAAAATAGATTGCTACTGGAATCATCAACTATTGTTTTCAATTTATCATCAGATACATATCCTTTTCAATTTTTTGATTATACGATTCTCTTATCTTTTCTGTTTTTTGTTTTGTCTGATATATTCATATTTGTCAAATTCGGGGATCGGAATTATAAATTAGGATGCTAACATATATAAAAACTACATAACAATCCTAGATCTAGAGTTATGGGCTAAACATTATTTTCTTTTAATATAAATTTAACTTGTATTAATCATCGTAAATGCAGAAGCAACTCCTAATAGAATTTCGGAGATAATAAATATTGAATGACTCACTATATCACATGTAAAGAGCCATCTCCAGGTCGTAACATATATATATATATATATATACATGATTTAGTTTCTTCATTTTTTCCCAATATATGCATATATATATATATATCTTATCAATTTTTTGCATATTATGTTGGACTTAATATGAACCAATTTTATGTTATTGCCTTCATCAAATGTATAGGACCACCAAGCTTGATGAGTATAAAAAAGGGGAATAAGTATTATATACATTTCTATTTACTTTGCATTTTCTATAAATCATCAAACATGATTATCAATGACCAAGTATGCACAAAATTTATTGAAGATTTGATCCATATCATTTCATTCACATATAATAATTAATGTATATAACTGGATATGGCAGATTGGAACGAATGAAACTGAAAACAATGAAGTAGACAATGATGATAGTAACAATGATGAGACTTTGTGCTTTTCCCTTAATGTATAATGGTATACAATATTTAAATTCGAGCAATCTATTATAAGATTGATGTGATTTGCTCTTAATCTTGCGTCTAATCAACCGTAATATCCGTAAGTTCTTAAAGTGGTTGATGTGCTGTCGTGGTGAGGGTGTCAAGTTTTACCGTAAATGAAATCAATAGCCGTAAGTGCACAGCTGATCGATTGTACTACTAAGGGATCGAATCCACAGGGAAGGAGGATCTTTACTGCAAAAGCCTTCGAAAGAAATATAAAGTAAGGAAGTCTAGAACCAGGCGAGTTTTGTGAGGGTTTTGGTGGTGTGTTTAAAACGTAAAAAAGAATCTTAAAGAGAAAATACGGGAATTAAAATGACCTAATAACTAAACTTAACAAAAACGGGTAAAAACGAGAAAAACGGCTAACCTAATTGCTTAAATGAAAATCGATTGAAAGAGTAAAGATACTATACTAAAGCTTGAATGAAAATCAGTATAAATCTATAAGAAAAGAGGCGCTGGGGTTCAGAGAAGTTTTCTCAGGGGTATAGACGATTCAAAACATTGCTCGAGAGTAAATTTGATAAGATCTTAGCTTAAAATTTTCGAACTGGAGTCACGGACGTATGAATACGCCACTGTCGTGATCATAGACAACTATCTCTCTCAACCTTGACCAGTAGGTTTCCACTCTGGCCCTGGAAAAGAAGAGATGCATTATGTTTAAGACTCGTCAGCATTCACAAATCGCCCATAGGTAGGTTTCCACTCGTATGTTTGTTTTGCTCTCCCAAACTAGATATGACACCGGATGAACACTTTCGTGTCACCAAGCATCTGGATCAGATTGTAGTTCATGACGCTATTCTCATGCAGTAAAAACGAATTCAGAAGAAAAAGTTCTAAGATTCGGCTCAAAAGCTCATGGAATCCTCACCGAACATATATATCCCCATCGAAAATCCCTTAGTCCCAACAATAAAACTACTCAGACATGATAAACGAAATCAAAAACATAGTATTAAAAAGTAGAATAGAAACCAAAATTGAAAAAAAAAGAACAAGGGTTCAAGAGACAGATCTCTCTTTTCCTAAAACCTAAAAACAAAGCTTAAAGTAAAATTTCTGTAAAGTATTTCGTCTCCCTTCTTCTCTTTTCAAAAATGACCTAAATGACATGTATTTATAGTCTCCAATACTCTCTGGTGTCTAGGGTTCCAGAATTGAGGCTGAGAAAATGATACAGGCTTCAGAAATGAGCCTTCAAAATCCACTACAAGAAAAAATGTCAATTGCCACAACTTTGCCATATTTTTTTATGGCAAGTGTTTTTAACCACAAATTTACCACGAATAACGATTTTTAAAAACTTTCTTGCATTTTACTGTAAATTCGTGTCAGTTTTGCCACGCTGACAAAATCTGTGGCATTTTGTGACAATATAACCACAAATTTACTACAAATAACGATTTTTAAAAACTTTCTTATATTTTGTTGTAAATTCGTGTCAATTTTGCCACGTTGACAGAATCTGTGGCATTTTGTGGCAACATTTACCACAAATTGGTACAAAAAATTTGTATCAATATTTGCCACATTATTAGAGATTTTTCCTAGCAAATTTGCCAAAACACAAAACCATAGTAATTTATGATAATCTTGTCACATATTATTATTTTTAATTATTAAATTTATGGTAAACTTACCACATATTATTATTCAAAATTTTGTTTCAAATATAATTTTCTTTAATTTTAATATAATTTTCTTTAATTTATGTTAAGTAATTCAATATATTGTTAATTTTATATTTATATGTGAACATATATATTAATTAAAAGTTATTATAAATTAAAGTGTAAGAAGAATTTTACAATTATTGAATAATTTATAAAATTCTATAATTGATAAATTAGTTTTAAATTTTGTCATTTAATACCATCTCTATGATCGAGTGTCCTATATGTATGGATTTAATATATGTGTATTAATTAAGTCTTTGTTGTGAAAGGAAGAGAGAATGTCCCACATTGACAAAATTGAGTGAGAGTCCAAACCATCATGTTCTATAAATAATGATATACTCTCCTTTCTATAAAGCGAAAAGATATTTACATTTGGGCTGTAGAAGGCCCATCGATTAGTATAATTCTATGTCTAGTTAATTGTTAACTGGGCCGAATAATCGCTAGATGTGCTATTGTTGATTAAATCAATTAATCGTTTTTATACAACTAGATTTTGCGTCCATGTTTTGTTGATAAAAATTATATGCAATTAATTATAATTATTAAGATATAAATTTTATATATTAGTGTTTTAGTGTTTTAATAATATATTAAAATATAATAGTGTTGATCTAATAATTTTTATGTAAATTGTGATTTTATAACGGTTTTGTTTTGAATCTATATAAAGTATATCATATTTCAAAAATGTATTATTTGGTCAAACACTTATAAGTTAAGATACCAAAACCAACTAAAATTTTTACAAATTAATCAAATGTTACTTTTTAAACATAATATTAACATGATAGTAAAATATTATACATTCACTTCTTTAAATCAAGAAGATAATTTTTTTCCATCATTTTCACTTTTATTTTAATTATATATATATATGTTCCTAAAAATAATAAAAAAATTAAAATTTAATCTGTTTTCTTCTCTTGTTTAACAAAAATTTTTTTATTTTGATATATTAATTTAAAAACATACTAATATAATAACAACTTTAAATTTGAAACTAAAACAATAGTTGAATATGAAATGAATAAAATCACACAAAATTTGTGAATAAATATATTTTTGTCAATTGGTAGTGTAAACTTTTAAATAATTTTTCAATGATTATACATCATATCTTCTAATAAGAATGAAATTTTTTTTTCATCTTCTTCGTTTTTATTCTTGTTATATCTGTTTTTTCAATGAATCTATCATATTTATTTTAATTATTTTTGTATGATTATATTCAGTTTAATCATATTTATTCTCACTTCTAATTGTAATTAAATAGATAAAACCAGTACAAATTAATATATACAAATTTATAAAAGTGAAATAACAAATTGAACAACTCAAAACTAAGAACTTCTACGTTAATCTATTGAATTCCAAATTAAATATATAAAATGTAAAAATTTTGATCATTTTTGCATAATATATTACACGAGAAAAAAATATTACATATTTTTGCATAATATATTACATATTTAGATGATTTGTTTTGCATATGTGAAAAACTTTTGATGAAAATAAATCATAAATATTAGTTATTTAAAATTCTACATGAAAAGCTTTAAAATCAAGTAAA